TGTCCTGCCCTGCCTCGTAGGGGTCCAATGTTACCCAGAGACTTCTTCTTGCTACCTATATACTTGAAAAAGGACTTTTTGTTATCCTTAATCCCAGAAGCTAATCTAAGCTCTAGTGCTGCTTTTGCCTTCCTCACCAAATCCCTACAAGTTTGGGTCAGGGAGGTGTACTCCTCCTTTGTCCCTGTCCCCTACTTCTACCGCCAGTACACTTTTTTCTTTGCCCTCAGGCCAGCCTGGATATCCACGCTCAGCCATGAAGGTTTTGAGAGCATCAGAGTTATGTGTGGCAAGAACATCCGAGTGCAGACTGAAGGAAGATTTTCAGCACTGGAAGGCAAGACAGGCACATGTTTTAGCGAAGGTATTAGCTTTGAATACCTTTTCTGCTACCAATTCCTGTCACTGCCCTTGGAGAAAGAGCCAGGAAGGAATCCTATGATCAGGGGTTGAGCTGGAAATCAGGAATAAACTGAAGGGGAAGCTGGTGGAAAGGACTTAGAGGGAAATATTCTAGCACATGCCATCAATGAATATGAGATAGTAGGCTTGCTTTTGTTGGTTAAAGCTATGAGGAGCTAGGGAATCTGTTAATGGGATGGAGAAGAACTGAAAAGGGAGGTGATGAAAAGAAATTCACTCTTCATCACTGCATTGAGAGGAAGTGTAGTTTAGTGATAGCATCAATGCAGGAGAGGGTACTGGAAATGTTGATGTCCTAATTCTCTCTCTGCAACAAACTTGCAATGACATGGGGAGGTCATTTAACATTTGATACTCATGGTGAGGCAAATAAATGAGACAATGTTGCAAAGCAGTTGAGAGGTTGTGTGTGTATTAAAAGATAAAAATGTCATAAATATTGCTGAATGCTTTGCTGCAAACTGTTTACATAAGTAAGGATGACTATGGTCTTATACAGACATTCAGTTTCTCTTAGGAGAGTTGTTGCTCTCCCAGGAGAAACCATAAGTGTACAGAGGCTTTTTCTTCCAGAGTAAAAATGGCCACACCAGGAGAAAAATAACCTGGGCACAAAGAGGGTTAAATCACTTCCAGAAGAATTTCTTCTTGGAGAGCAAATGTCTGTACGTGATGACAACATAGGCTGACTGTGGGCCATCTGGGCTGGCTAATCAGGGTTATCCTATGCACAGCTACCACCTATAGCTGGGCTGACTAAGGGAGACTTCAAAGCACACTGAGATGTGTGCACAGGGCCCCTCCCCTGGCTGCATGGTTTCAGCACTGCAAGCTCTCCACTCTTCAGGGCCTCAGTATTCGGATGGCTGTACATATGGCTCTGGGTAAGTTTTTTTTTAAACAGAAGAACAAATCTGGGAAAATACTCCCAGATTATTTGAATGTGTGCACACAACCTATATCAGGCAGCATCCAAGTCATCACTCTTCAGCAATAGCCTGAATTACCTAGTAGTATCAGGACAATTTCAGCAAGTTGATAAGACGGGGACACTTTCTCCAATCATGTTTGTTCTGCAGATACAGGACTCCAAGCAAGCAAGTCAGGGCGTTGCATTCTCCAAAGAGTGAATCTTGATTGTTTCTGAAACTTGTGTGTACTGGGTGCACTTCTGAGTAGCTCTTAGCATCATGGAAGGTAGAAAGCACAGTGAAACGTATGTTGTTCCTTCTAGACTGCAAATGTAGCCAAATGAAGGGCTCTGATTACAGTATACAGCCATTTTTTAATGTACATGAGACCTCAACTCTGTGGCACGATTTGTTAAAATTCTTGGAGAGATCCAAGACCTGTCCCAAGCTTAGGAAAGTGACACATTTATTCTAAACTGTGTGATGGAGCCATGTAGTGGTCCCCTGGAAACAGCCCTATTGTGGCTTAGAAGTACTGGTAGTGTTTAATCAGGCACAATTTGCCCTTTTAATGGAACTGTGGTGTCAAAAAAATCTTTTAACATACTGTTGACTACTGTGTTTATTTTGGTTTCCAGTCTGCATTTTTTATTTTTTCCCAACGTGTATGATTACTAGATAATGTTTAATAATGCATTTGATGATTATGAAGAATGAAAGTTTATGAAAACATTCCTTGACATTTAAAAAGTACTTTGAATTTTAGTATTTTATCTATTATTTGTTAAAATGATCTCTTCTGAAAGTGACTTGAAAATGATTCTGCTCCATTCATTGATCAGCAGCCTATTTTTTGCTTTAGCTGAATGTCTAAATTTCTCAGTTGTTTCAAAAATCCTCGATTAGGTGAAATCCATCGATGTTCCTTCACTGTTTCAATGGCTTTGACCAATGAAAGCTGGTGTTTTATCATGAGGTAAGCCAGTACCAGAGTAGCTGACCTGCTCATTCCAACTGCACAATGCACCAAAATTTTTGCTGATAAAAGAAAAGGAAAAAAGTGAGTTTTTGGAAGAGAAGACATATGTCAGATAAAGTATAAATTAAAGAGAAGCTCAACCCCCACCCCTCCCCAATACTCTGAACAAACCAATCCAGTTAAAAAGCTCTCATTTTAATCCTGATATGTACATCCTATACTGTATTTACTCAAATTACATATGCACGCTTTCTCCAAATTGTGGCACTTCTCTTAAGTGAGAAAGCTCATTTTCTGTCTGGAATAGAAGCAGCACATTTTGATGCCTGCTCCACAAGAAGGAGCAGTGGCATTTTTATTCAGGCAGCTGAGGGATCCAAGTGACTTAATAGCTCTTGCTCTTCACTCCACAGGTGTTAATGACTGTCTCTCCTTTTTGATGCTCCACTAATCAAGCTAACCATTTTTTAGGCATTTTTGCTGTCTGCTAGCTACTCCTGGTCTCTTTACAGACCTGAATGGAGTCCAGGTACACCTGGAGGGTGTACCCTGTCCTCCCATGACAGTGGTGGTGGTCAGGCGAGGTGCTGAGGAAGGGGTCAGCTACTAGAGCGACTTCCTCCCCTCTCTATAAAGCTAGGCTGAAACCAAGTACTTAACTATGTACAATTTATTACACGAATAAATACAGACACTTAATATAGAACATAGAATATTTACAAGGCTTAACATATAATGCTATATATAATATTCCACAATTCACATATAATAACAAATATGAACCAAATAACTTATAACCTGTACAACACAATTAACACATAGGGATATTAACCTATATAACCCAAGTCAATTAACAATAATATTTCTTTAAACCTTTACAAATAACAATACCAGTACAGGAAACCCTTGCTATTTGTGAACTCTGGATTCGTGGATTCAAATATTCGTGGGGGAGGGCAGAGCTGGGAGGCAGGTGGAGAATGAGTGCCGGGGACGTGGAGGGAGGCAGTGGCATCTTTTCCACCAGAGGCAGCCGCGGTGGCACTCGGGGGAGAAGGGGTCGGTCCCCAGGCGCTGCGGGGCTCTCTTAGTTAAAGGTAGAGCCGCACTGTGGGGCTCTGGTCACTTGACCTGGGCCAGGGCTAATGTGAGCAGCCATGAGCTGCTTCCAAGGTGATTCTCCATGTGCCGACCTGTGCTCCTAATGCCTGAGCAGCCTTGAGCTGTTCCCAGGGCCATGTCTTTGTGTGCCGATCTGCACACCGACTGCCCTTGCTGGGTTTACAGGCTCAAGCCACCTCAAGTGGCTCCTAGAGCCTAATCCCCACGCACCAATTTGCACCCCGCTGAAGCTTAAGCAGGGTCCCAAGGATGGCCGTCTCCAGAGCTCTTCTCTCCTCGCTGTCCCTCGTTGTCTCCCCAGTGTGCCAAACATACTCCCCTTTTATACTCTTCAGGGGCTCCCCCCACTCAAGTTCTCTGGATCTGGCTGGTGCAGTTCGGCCTGATGTGCAGCTGCTCCTTGCCAGCTCCGTTCAGGAAAGGGTGGGGCATTGCTTCCCTTGTGCTGCCTCTGGATTTGTGGGTGGGCTCCACCAATCAAATAGCAGACCCTTGAGCCTGGGACTCAACCCAAGCCCCGAAAAGGTAAGCCTACTACATGTAGATTGTTTTTAGCTCTTTTTAAAACGGTAGATCCACCCGTGGAGACCAGCCTTCAGCAGTAGCTAGGGTTGCAGCTTTTGGTGAAACAGTAAAAGTAGGATGGGTGATCTGAATATTAGACTTTATTCCTGTTTTTGCAAAACTCTGGAAAACTCTTCATTCTGCTTTCACAAAAACAAGGTCCATGTCTTATTTGGGAGTGTGTCATGTGAGAAAATATGGTAACTTGCTAGAAACATGGAGTCCAATTATGCAACATTTACTCACATGAATAATAATTATCAGTTTGAGAAGTCATATCAGGATCGAACCTGAACTTAGCTACACTTGTATAAATCAAGGAAAAAAGACAAGGAGTCAATTAAACTACATTGATCTGAATGGGGGGAGAACCAGGACATTGACTTCAGAGGGGCTACCCAGAAGAACTGGGGTTGTAGAAGTGGGCATGGAAGGATGGTGCAAACATTAATCAGCAAGACAAATAGGAGTCTTATTTCTGTGCAACAATTTGCCTTGATGTACAGTCCTTCTTTTTGGAGAATAGCACCTCAAATTGCTATAGTTATCTCCAGTTACTAGAGAACTACCAATTTATATCAGCTAGGGTATGGCCCTCTGTGCCATTAGATAATTATTACTTTCTTTTAGTATAGTAGTGACTAGAGGTATAGTGCAAAGGGTTCTTCATTATTCTTTGTATAATGCACTAAAGCTGCACATATTTTTCAACATCAAATTCTGCTGTTCTGCCTTATGCAAGAAGTACGGCATTCTTTTGCAATGAATAAGTCTTTTCACATGAGTAAGGGCTGCAGGATCGGGACTTAGTCCCTTTACACATATACCATTATTTTTAAAAAGTATTTTTTTAACATATGCAAAGGTATCAAAAGGTTGGACCTGCCAAGGCTGCTTGTGAGCTCTAATAAAATAAACAAATTAACTGAAATGAGCTTGCCAGAGAATTTGCTTTAGATAATTTAGTACCAACCAGTATGGTGAGGTTGCTTACTTCTTCCAAGATGTTGCATGAAGTAGTTATAGCAGTGATTTAGCTCAGCTGGTTGGAGAATAATACAAATAACACTAGGGTTGCAGGTTCAATCTGTGATTGGACTAAGTGGTCTCTTGAAATCCCTTTCAGCCTTACTAATCTATGAATTCTAATAGAATCATGGACAATGTCATACTTGGATCATGCCTGTGAGCTTTCCACACAGAAAAATGAATAACATCCAAAGGGGCTCAGGCCAAGCCAGTGTTTAAGAACAGGTTTAAAATAAAGTAAGGGTGGACTAATTTTGTAACTCTCTTTTCAGACTATGTTGGCCTTATGCTCTCCCTTGTTCTTTATTTACCTAATCATAAAGCATAATTTCTCCATGCTCTTCAGGAATCATTGGTGTTCATTCTTCTATTATTAGTATCCATTTTAGATATTTGGATTTTTGCTCTTTTTACTCAGGCTTACTTTCTAAATGTTTTGGCTTTATTTAGTCTCCTTTATTTTCTGCCTCTCAATTTCTCCAGACCCTTGCTCTTATTTCTTAGTTCTGTGGGTTCTTGTATGTGTTTCTATATGCCTGAGGCAATGATTTCTTAGGGTGATATCTTTCATTGGACCAAGTATATACAGCAAAATCTGAGTTAACTGCCACCTTACAAGCCGGCATGCTCTTTTAACAGGCATGCCGACATGTAAGGCTTGTAAGGGCAAAGATGCTTGTTCCAGCCACTCAGTTATCTGGCATATTTTGTTATCCGGCACCCTCCATTCCCTGTGGGTGCTAGATAACAAAGCTTTTACTGTAGATGGGATAAAGTTGGACAAGCTTTCAAATGGAAGGACCTGACAAAGAAGGCCTTGCATTCAAAAGCTTGTCCAACTTTATCCCAACTATATATTTGGTCCAATAAAAGAGATTACCTTAAGAAATTGTTCACTATATGCCTGAACACAGATTCTGCTTATCCTTAACCATTGGGACAAGTGTTTAGCAGGTAACCAAGACTGGATCCAGATGTTCAGGCACATGTGGTTTGTGGTGCCACAAATCTTACACTTGGCATGTTAAAACGTGCCCCGCACTGCAAATTTGCTATGTGGGAGCAAAATTTGCTACCTGAAAATCCCAGTTGCGAAAAAAAAATAACACTGTGGAAAAAAGTGGTGTGGTGCACACTACAAGAGCATGTGCTGGCAGACACAGAGGCTCAGTCTTTCTGGGGAACACTTTGGCTGCCAGCCAGAGCATCTCCCCTCCTTTGCTTTCACCCCAGCTCCTCTGGCATGCTGGGAGTCAGGAAGAACGGGGAAAAGCATTTTCCTGAAGTGGAACCTTTTGCCCTAGATCAGGGGTTCTCAATCCTTGGGCCATGGCCCCAGGCTGGGCTGTGGCAGGTTGGCTGCTGGTCCGCAGCACGGTTGGCTGCTGGACTGGAAGTGGCCGCAGACTTGCAAACTGTGGCCTCCCCGCCCCAGAGCTGGGTGGAGAGGCTGCAGATCCTTCTGCAGGGCCTGTGGCAGTGCAGGATTTGGCCCACCCCCCCACTGGCAGAGTGGGGGTATCTCTACCTGTCTTCCGGCCAGAAATTCTGGCTGTGGTCGGCTGCGACTGCTGGGCTGTGGTTTGCCAAGCTGTGGCATAAAAACTTTGGGAACCCCTGCCCTAGACCAAAGCGCACATGCAGGGGCATGTGCAGTGGTGAAAAGCAGCTGTACAAATTTGTGCCACTACTTTTTTGCTGCTGCAAGTGCATGATTCTCCATGTGGGGATGCATCCTAGGAGTGCACATATATCCCCTTTCAAATATGGACCATCCTGCCAAAG